TCACCACATTGTATTTCAGGATAGCTCTAGAAATGACTTTTTTAAATTATGAAACCAACCCCATTTTTTTCTCACCTTTTCATCCCCAGCGTAGTAAATCATATGATCATCTGATTCAAAATATCCCATGCCAAGCCATCTCATTGTGCCAATACCTAGTATGTCAATATTTATGTGTCTGATTTCTTTCTTAACAATGTCCAATTTCCCTACATTCATGCTTCTCACATTCCACGTTCCATTTGCTAGTGTCTCCTTACAGCTGTTTCTCTTTCTCCGTGTATCCATTTTTAAGATCTCAGTTTCAATTGCCATGTCTGTTAGTCCCAATGATAGTCTAACTGTGCTCTGTTGTACATAGGGTTTTTTAAGGCCTGTAATTTCAGAAGTGGATGGCTAATCCTTCTTCCTAGTCTGTCTCAATTTTTAAATATATGTAATAGTATCAGACAGACAAGAATTCTACAGAAAAGAGCTGATAAAAGACATTTACCAGTTAGAAAGACCACTATTCAATGTTGCTGCCCACACGGCTACATGTTTGGTTTCTTTGTTTTGTGTGTTTTTGTTTTTTATCCACCCTTTCCCTACTCCTCTGCCAACCCTTCCTACTTTTGCCTACATTTAACCCCTGTCTCCCATTGACCAGCCCCTGATGTGATGGTCTAAGTCTCAAGCCATCAGGATTTCTTTGATTCTGACCCTATCATGCTGCTGTCAGTCTCTTATGATGCAGTCAGTATGACTTCAATTTAAATTTGTTAACTACAACTGTCATGTACAGCTTCTTTTCCTGGAATGTCCTGAGAAAAAGTCCTTGTTCTTAAACTTCCACTTCGGGATTGACTACTTGGTGGTTAATACCTCTTGTCTTCCATTTGTAGCCTGGTGCTGATCCAAGAGAATGGCTTCCCTGGAGAGAGGAATGTGTCCTCCAGGACCAGTGCACAAGGCCCTCAGGCCCAAAACTATTTCTCTGGGGATGGCGTCCTCAGGGGTCCCTTTCCCGTCTTCCTGGGGTACCTGAGGTGAGGCGTGGGAATGAGGAAAGCTCCACCTCTCCCCCCTCCCATTAGCAATGATATATATCCCTTGTGCCATGGCGTCTTCCAAATCTAACTTGAATTTCTGACAGTTTCCTGTTGATGTACTGTTCTTGCTGCTTTTGAATAATCTTCAGCAAGATTTTACTTGCATGTGATATTAATTATATTGTTCTATAAAGTCCACATTCTGTTAGATCACTTTTAGGGGGGAATAAGACTAAATGTGGATCTCTTCCAGACTAAGTAGCTGTCTTCCATATTTGTTGACAGAGGCTGGTGAGCTCATTCAGGGTTACATCTGTTTCCTGAAACCACAGTTGATATTCCACCAATTCCTAGGGCTTAAAAAAAAAATTTTTTTTAAACAATGTTTTCAGTTCAGCTTAGATTTCTACATTGGCATCTCTCACCAACACGACAAAAGAAAAACCTTGTTGCCAAATAAAATCATACCTATAAGTACAGGGGTCAGGATAATTCAACACTTTTTTCAGAAGGACATGACTTAATCTGAAACAGGTCTATAGATCTTAGAATGGACTTGCCAGGTCACAAAACAACTGGGTGTTCACATCTTTTTTAGAAACTACCAGACTGTTTTCTAAAATTGTTGTTGTTGCTGTTGTTAGGGGCTGTTAAGTCAACTACAATTCATAGGGACCCCATGAAGATTAGATCTGAGCCTTGCCCTTGTGCCATTCTCATGATCTCTGATATACTTCTTAAGCCCACAGCTGCACCATTTTATATTCCCCTCAGGAGTGTATTTCTATGCAGTCTTGACAATGCTTTTTGTATTTTCTGACTTTTTAAAAACTAACCATCAGAGTGGATATGAAATAATTAACTCACTGGGATTTGGATTTGGATCACTCTGATGGCTAATGATGCTGAACATCTTCTTCTATGATTATTCTCAAGCTGTTCAGGGGAAAATTTATAACAAACAAAAAGGGTGCTTACAAATAGCTGACTATGTCCCCTGGCCTTAAGATTTTAGCAAAATATTTGCATTGGATGTTTACAATTCATTTCAATCATCTCAGATCATCCTACCTACAAGTAAATATGCAAGTTTTCATTAAGCTACTGACTCTTCCTCCAACATCAGAAATGGGCCCGCTGACTGACATTTGCACTGATGCTGGGCCGTGCTCTGCTGTCTCCATCAAACCTCAAGAGACACATCCTTTAGCTGCTGTGAAGCTTGAGTCGTGTTCTCTCCTGAAGGGTCCTGGCCAGAGTTGTGGGGCAGTGCTCAACAGTTTCTACAAATGCTGAGTAATTCTCCTCTTCCCCTTCACTGACCTGAAACTATTACAGTAAAATCATTTAAATGTTTAAAACTCTTAACGGTATGTGGCCTAGTAGAAAGAAGTTATGCTGCAATCCCAAAAGCATGCAGTTCAAATCCACCAGCTGCTCCATGGGAGAATGATGGGCAATCTCCTCTTATGTGATATACTTCCTCTGAAAATTTGTTAGAGGATCAGCTATGGGTCAGTTTCATTTGATGGCACACAACAACAACTGTAAGCATGAGTCAAACAGTTGCTACCTTGCAGTTCAGGAGAATGAACTAAGGTAATACTATTAATAGATAGGCTGTTTCTAAATACATATTCTAAACCAGGTACTGTTCTAAGCAATATAAAAAGAATCATTTCATATGTGGCAGTGTGTTGTTATCAGCTAGATACTATTAACCTCATTAGTTTACTTTATAAAGAGATTTCACTGAGTGCACAGTAATGCAATCATGTGAAACTACCAAAACAGACCCTTCTTTCTTTTTTTTTCCTTTGCCTTTACAATGGAGTCAAACAATGGTGGTCCACTCAACTCACTTGACTACTAGCCAAAAATTTGGTGGTGTCAGTCTATCCAAAGCTGCTTTCGAAGAAAGACCCAGTCATTTACTTATCAAAAAGTAAACACTGGAAGTCAGATGAGACACAGCTAAACACATGGGTCATAGCCAGTTGGAGTAGACTCACTGGTAACTGGTTTTTTACAATGAGATAACACTGCCATTTCTCCCCTGACCAAAGACCTAAATAAACCTTATTGTGGGTTTGTGTCTTTCAGAGTCAAGGGGCCTGAAAAGGAGGAAAAATTACGCCAGGTGGTCAAGCAGGTCCTAAAGTGTGACGTGACCCAGAGCCAGCCACTGGGGCCCGTCTCCCTGCCCCTAGCCGACTGCCTGCTCACCACGCTGTGCCTGGACGCAGCCTGCCCCGACCTCCCTACCTACCGTGCAGCCCTCAGGAACCTCGGCAACCTGCTCAAGCCGGGGGGCTTCCTGGTGATAGTTGACGCCCTGAGGAGCAGCTACTACATGATCGGCGAGCGGAGGTTCTCCAGCCTCTCTCTGAGCCAGGAGGCCGTGGAGACGGCCGTGCGAGAGGCCGGCTACACAATCGAACAATTCCGCGTGATCTCTCTAAGTTACTCTGCCACCACGGCCGACAACGAAGGGCTCTTCTCCCTGGTGGGACGAAAGCCGAGATCATCTGTATGACACTTGGTCATCTCTAGTAAAGCAATTCCTTTGACCCGTGTAGTTGTCTTCAATCTTGGGTTCTTTTTGGGTCACTATGCTCAGAGGATGCTCAGTGACTGGGGCCCAATGACGCAGCCAGGACTGGGGTTGGCGTGGTCAGGGAGACTAGGAAAAAGTCACTCTTCACCTGCTCTGTGCTCCACATTTGAGGTGCAGTCACGGGGACCCAAAATTGTGTACATGAAATAAATAGCCACCGCCTGTAGTCACCTAAAAAGATGCCACTTTCTTAGACAGTCTTGGTCAGGAATTAGGGCCCAGCCTCCACCTGCAGAGGAGTAGATGTTATTGACTGAACATTTCCAGGGAGGCCTGCTGCCTTCTCCTGCTCTTCAGCTCACCCTGCTGTCCTCAGACGCTACCACATTAGACTACTGTTCATTGCAGCTGACCTCCAACATCATTAGCCATCAGAGAGATGCAAATCAAAAGCAAAGAAAGCCCTAGGGAACTCTGGTGGCCTAGTGGCAAGAAGCTGCACAGCAATCCCAGAGGAACACAGTTCAAATCCACCAGATGCTCTGCCGGAGAAGGAGGCGCAATATCCTCCTGTACCAGTCAGATCTGATTTGACGGTACACGCACACAAAATAAATTACAAAAAAAAACAAAAAACAAAAAACAAACAAACAAACAAAAAGCAAAGAAAGCCCTAGTGGCACCATGGTTAAAATACTCAGCTGCTCACTGATAGCTTGGCAGTTGCCCCATGGCTGAAAGATGTGACAGTCCCCTTCAGAAGAGATTTACAGTCTTGGAAACTGTAAAAAACACAAGTGTCTGACCTCTGATAATGCCACAAAGGGGACAGTCCCCATCAACAACACAAGACTGATTCTCATGAGGTCAGATATGCCTCCACGCTCTCCACACCCTTGTCTACCGAGTTCTAACACCAACCTTCCTTCCCAAGGCTCTCCCTCCTCAACTGCTAGGTTCACTAATCCATGGCAACAGCCATACAGCACTCATAGACCATGTTCATGACTACAGAGATTATTAGGGAAGTGACAGGTTACAATTCAGATTGAAAATAGAATGGAATTTTTCAGTCAGGACAGCTTCCGAGGCATGCTCACAAGCCTTTTGGCTCCAGGCCAGTGTTCTAAAGCTCTCTTAGTTCTGCCAAGTATGGCTCCTGTCCCCTTAATCCTCCCATAAGTTTGGGTGAAGGTCTCTAGCTCTGCTTTCACCTCTATGGGTTGGCAGTTTCAGTTCAGAGCCTTCTTATATCCGTTTCTTCTACTTCCTTATCTAGGTCCTGGTCTAACTGATGCACAAATCTATGGTTCAACGGGGTGCACATTGAACTCTCCGCTGTTTCTTACTGGAAGTGAAATTTTCATATCCTACCTCTAAACCCTCAATTTAAACTAAACAGGATGGCAAGACTGACCATGTTGGTGCATGCATTATTTACACATTCTCACTGAAGAGAGATCATCTGCCTCATTCATATCATTGGCATAATCTCACCAAGCCATATTGTTGTTGTTAAGTGCCAATCCATTCCCCTAACCTGGACCATAATGTGGTTCCCCTCCCCTTCTCATCTTTTTTAAAAGCAAGTTCAACTATTTATTAAAGATGAAGATTGGGCAAACACTTAAACAATTTCTTTTTCTATCTAATGATTACATCTGGCAAGTCCCCTCTGCCAGCATTTGGGCGTGCCGGAATTTTAAAACACTGATAAAAGAGATATATAACTAGGTATTTCTGTCATCACAGGAGACTAGAGCGAGGGCTACATGGTGGAGGGGACCTGGGGGAGGGTTTGTAAAACAATGAAAGAATCTTTTCTTTTACTTTTCCATAATTTTTGACTCATGTACTTATAACTTGTTAGTCAAATTTGTGTCTTCTAGGTTGCAACACCCCCATGATACATCTTCAAGGATATGAACATGTACAGCCAAGCACAATCAATAAGAGTGCATCTAAATTCCAAAATCAATCTCCATAATAGTCTATGTGTTTCCTACTGCCAAAGGGGCCCTTTAGAGTAGTGAGAGAAGATCTTCACCCTGAAACCCACAGCGTCCCTTTTCAGCAGGAAGTAGCTAAGAGAATACGCCATCCCCTTTTCCTTATGACTCAGGGTGAAGTCTCTCTCAGGGAGGAGTGATAGGGAATGGCAAAGGACACACTGACAAAGAAGATTAATCAGAACTGGCTTTGACAAGCACTGTGGCACTTGGACAAGAACAAACTGGGAGGAGGGTAGAGAGAATAGTGCAACAATGAATGAATGGAAACCCAAAATCTCTGTAAATGTTTATGAAAATTAATAAAATATAGAAAAAAAAACAAAGCTAAAAAAAACAAAAAAAAAAACAACACTGAAATGTTTGGCTTCGCCTGCAGGCTGAGGGCTAGTGGGTTGTGAAGCTCATTTCAAGCCGGATCTTAGGATGGCCTCTTGTGTCTTGTGGAGAGACGAGTATGGAATGCTTGGGGCTCTTAAGGCTTTCGGGCCAAATGTTAATTGATTTTGGATGAAAACTCTTTCAAGTGTTCTACTGAAATAACATGGAGTTGCTGCGATGATGGACAGCTGGGCCATAGGTGTGTCAAACACCATAATTGGCTACCCATCATGGGCAGTGTTTGTTGGAGCTCCCAGATTGATTCCAGTTTGGAAGCGGGACTGGCATCTACCTCTAAACTACATGCCTCTGGAAAGTCTAAAAATTCGGAGAAATTATGTTAGTTATAGAAAGGCTCCAGGCCTTTCTTCATCATATATATATATATATATTTCCCTCATGTGTACTCAGTAAATATGGTAGACAAATCATTAAAGAAGTTAGACTCTATGAAGAAGCATGTGGCATCAGAATAAGAGATTGAAAAAGCAGCAGAATGCTTCCAGATGGGAGTTTTTGGGTGGTGAGAGCCAGTGAGAATGCTTGATTATGGAGGAATTTGGAATGATGGAGCTCATGGTGTTTGAACCACACTTTGGTTCTTAAATTCAGTAGGGCCTTCAGGCATCAGGCCTTTGGACCTGGTTTTAATTATTGTTAGTCACACATTCTTCTAGGTCATATAGCCCTGGTCTGTCCACTTGCTGTACACAAGTAACTCACGGTTGTTGTGATGCTGTAAACTGTGACACTGATGTCAAATGTGAGAATGGTTACCCATGGCAGACAGTGTTTGGTGGCGCTCCCCATTTAAAACAAGCTTGAAAGCAGGAGTGGCATCTACTTCCAAAATAGTTTGCCTCGAGAAACCCTATGAACCTGGAGAGAGGATGAAAGTCATACAAGTGTTCGGGTCTTTTGTTCATAGGGTCGCTATGACTCACCTACAATTCTACGGCACTCAACAACAACAACAACAATGATTACATAATAAGAGACATTTGGGGCATGTTGTAAGGAGGGACCAGACCTTGGAAAGGGACATCATGGTTGGAAGGATAGAGTGACAACACAAGAAAGGAAGACCCTTGATGAGATGCCTGGGCTTATTTATGGGGATTGGTGGTCAGAGACAATAAGGTTGGCTCAGGATAGAGCAGGATTCAGAGAAGCTGTACATCTGGTTACTATGAGTGTTAAGTGACCCAGTGGCACATAACAACAACAACATGTTGGTTAGTAATACATGTTCTGCCAAATAACCAAACACACAAATTACAACAAAGTTAAATTGTTTTTCTAGAGGGTTAAACCAGACTGCTCCTTGGAGACAAGGAGTCTGACATACTTTGGACATGTTGCAAGGAGGGACCAGTCCTTGGAGAGGGACATCATGCTTGAGAGGTTTGAGGGACAGAACAGGAGAGGAAGACCCTCTATGAGATGGATTGATTCAGTGACTGGGGTAACTGGGGTAGGTGTGTTGGAGACAATAAGATTGGCACAGGACAGAGCAGGGTTTAGGGCTGTTGTACACAGGGTTGCTATGAGTCGCAGATGACTCAACAACACATAACAACAACAGAGCTAAAGAACAGCTCCTATTTGTAAATTTGGAGCTTTTAAGCCCAAACCTCCTAGAAAGCATCAGGAATTTACTGATAATTTATTGCTATTTAGACAAGTGGTGAGAGAGCCAGCTTATTTTTAACACTATTGTCTATGTCCAGGATTTTGCACTGTAACTATGTTGTCTGTCACCTTAGGCACAAGCACTCTACCACTGTAGCAAAAGCAGCTATAGCCAAGAAGTAAACCAATGGTTGTGACTATGGTCCAATAAAACTTTATTTGTAAACAAAGGTGGGTGGGCTGATTTAGCCAACGGTTTGTAGTTGGTTAGCTCAGTGGTAGAATTCTCATCTTTCATGCAGAAGGCCTGAGTTCAATTCCTAGCCAACGTGTTTCACGTGTAGCTACCACCCATTTGTCAATGGAGGATTGCATGTTACAATGATCCTGAGCAGTTTTCAACTGCGCTTTCAGACCAAGACGGTCTAGCAGGAAAGGCCTGGTGATCCACTTCAAAAATTAGAATAGTGGAAACCCCACGGGTCACAGCAGTCCGAGAGGCCCAGTGGGGAGCACAGAGGAACTGATGTCATTCTGTTACACATGAGGTTACTATGAGTCAGATGCAACTCTAGTTTGTTGACCCCTGCTCTACACTCTAAAGCAGCCTTACGTGTGTCCAAAGTTTCATAAGCAGTCCCATTAGCCTCTGATTTTCAACTTTAAACATAGAAGCTTAAATCTAGTCCAAGGGACTGGACAAGACAGACAGAACACTTACTATCAAAATTAGTATCTGTTCCCACTTAGCAGATTACCTCATGCTTTTCATCTTCATTTGATCACAACACGGTGCTGGGAGACGATTATTATTCCTCTTCTTCAGAGAAGGCCTGCACCTGGGAAAGGTGGAAGGACAGTCTCAAGGCAATCAAGCCACAAAGCTGAATTCACAGCTTTTTCTGTCCTCCAGCCCCTTCCATCATCTCCTTGCCTCGCTAATATTTAGCGGTCACC